TCGTCATATACATCTAGGGCTGTATATGCCACTTGCACGTACACATGAAACACTGTTGGATGCAACGATATACACAGACGGTTGCACGTACATTAGTGGGATTTTTACGAATGAAGAACCGGTATTCAATGAGCAGCACAATTCGAATCACAATTCCAATGACGACGAACCGCTCGAGGAACATGAACAGGCAGTGCGTGCGCTAGACATTATAACGAGTGCACTTTGAAGCTAGTAGTAAAACCTCCGGAGAGGAATTATTTTTGTGTGTGAGGAGAGAGAAGTGTGTCATATGGAAACACTGTGTGGATGAGGCTATGGCTACAATGGCACGTGTGTGGCAAACTAAGACACATTCCATTTAAATAACTACGCACTACATTGATACAACTACGCATTCGATCGTTGCGTGAACGTGTACATGAACATTGCTATTTGAATGTGTATGTGTTGACCGCTGCTTGTATGTGTACGTATTAAAAATATGTATTATATTCCTGTGCAAGTATAATCTACAATACTATGTATTTATGTATTTATGTAATCTAGAGAGGTCTTGAATGTGAACAACTGTACATACTGATACGAGATCAGTAGCTATCCGACATTGCGCGCCAAATATGTTGCAGACTTTTGACTTTCGTGTGGATGTATTTAAATTTGTCTGTCGATTGTGCAGTGCAATATAATATTTACAACATAAATAGTGAATGTAGCTCGTTCATCGTTTATTAATAGTTATATGAATACTATTACCGTCAGTGAAGTATGCAGTCACAGTATTAGTACCCTAAGATTACACGATCTTAAACTACACACGAAAGCGATGCTTGTGACCCGGTAACTGATGCACGACGTTGCGGTGAAAGCATATGAGATTATACCTGGGATCTGCGGTTGTTTCTAAGTCACTGCGGTCACATCATTGTAGCAGCGGTACTCGTATCACCTCGTACCATCCCTTTAGGTTGTGTGCTTGCCATGATCACCATATACTGCAAACAACACACTTAGACAGAAGTATTGAATCTCTCATGAATTATTATTGCTAGGTTCTCGAATTTTCGATAACTTAACGTTCGCAGGGCATCACGGCCGGCGATACGCGATACCATGCACACGAAATGGGTGAAAGAGTCAGCCACATCGTCGTTGTTGACAGATAGCACAGTGGCCATCTGTATCTACGCGCATATAATTTAATATTGCAGAGGTAGCGCATGTGATGCGTGTGATGCGTCTAATGCAGGTGATGCAGGTGTGGTTCCGATCACAGCGATCCAGCAGTACCGATCGCACGTTCTCGCCGTTTCAGTACAATTCCTAGGATGAGTGAAGCTGCATGCTCGCGAGTACTATCAGTGGACATCAGAGGAGCGCAAATGGGATATGTAGATGTGATACTTGCAAACAAAGGTATTGAGATGATTAAGATGTTTTTTTTTTGCCAATTCGGACAAGAATGTTTTTTAAATGGGGTTGTATATGCGATAACGTTCTTGATGTGTGTTGGGTATCGCACAGACACACACAACTTATTCATTTAGTGCATGGAAAAAAACATTGGATTAAGCTGCCGAGTTTGATGTGCTTGGAAGAACATGCTTTCTAAATGATGTCAAAAGAAATTAAGTAAGGAAATATGTATACATGCAATCTGACGGTATGCGTCCAAGCTGTATCTCTTATATTAGTACACTTTCTGCTATGTGCTTCCGTTGAGTTTTAGAAGGCTATGAATCTTCGACTCTTTCCGATCATATGTGATATGTAGATGAACAAATACATAGATGAATACTAAATACAATAACACGAGCTTGATCTATTTCGAAGCTCACGAGATCCTCCACTTCATGCTCGGCAACATTGTGCCCGTGTAATATTGCAAGAACAGTTGAACAGATATTAGGGCTACATGTAAAATCGGAATTTGCGAGTTCTACTCGTTCTCAGGCAGAAATATGTTTATTTGAATTTACCATCATGTATACAAACGCTTTCATTAGAACAACAGACTCATAGTGAAGAAATTAATAGCAATTGATTTGCCAACGTCTAGGTACAAACCGAAGTTGTACATTGTGTTCTCGCATCGACCCTTTAATATTGGTTATTATATATTATATACTGTGTACATTCATGAATATATGTCACTATATGAAATCCTCAAGAAGCAAGAAGTATACTATTTTTTTGTGCACTGAGGCTTCCACACGATACACATTCACAATCAATTGCTTACTCGGTCTGCGGGTATCAAAGATAAATTCAGACGATTCCAGTGGCGTGGCTTGTTGCAGTACACACGTATTACTATACAAAACGCACCGGAGGCATATCGTCGAACAAATCAAGCTGCGAGCACTAAAATTATATCATGCGTGCATTGATGAGTGCTTGGCCAAAGTGTGAGTCCGGGATAGATGCTGCAAGCCGTCTGCTATCGATGACACTGCGTAGTGCCGCCAGAGCCGTCTCATCGTCGCAGGTGACCAAGAAGCGGCGCCGGTCCTCGCTATCGAGAGATAAGTAGCCGTTGTAAACTGACAGTAGAGCCGTGAAGGGCTCAGTATTGTGTACGTTGAGATGGAGAAGTTGCTTATTTTCCTCCATGTACCACTCGGCTTCTCGCTGGGTGAGCACCTCGTACGTGTTATCATCGGCATTATAACACAAAGGACCCACGTACTTGTAGATGGGGTGCGTACCTGTAGCTGCTTTAGCTTCAAAGTTTGCAGAGCAAAGCAACCGAGACTCTATGGCAGACCCATTCACCGCCATAGTGCGCATCACCTCCCTCTCATTCGGGTCAATCGCTGGTGTGTATACGGCGCTCGCTACCTCCATGGCGATTTCCTGTTCCTGGTGTTGCTGCATTTCTCTTTGCACAAAGGTGTTGAATCCGTGGTCTGTGTTGACAGGAAGTGAGTCCTCATTAGGTTTCAGCGACTTGACAGTGTGTTGGAGGGTTATAAGGAGACATTTACCCGTCAAATCATCGTTGAAATGATGAGCATTCGCCTCAAGCAATTCGATCGCGCGAATCGCCGGGGGTTCCACACGACAACTTATGCCGTAGAGTTTGTCTGGCTGATCCTGGTCGTCTAAATACCACGCGTCGGTGTTGCTATTTGGGACATCGTTCGCCACCTTTGCACGGGGAGTACCTCCGTCAACAGATATACCGAAGCCATCTGT